GTGTTTTAGGATATTATGGCTATGATCTGGGCCACGGTGGTGCAATTACCCAAAATGGGCAAGGCCTTCCCTGACTGGTATGCCCCCCCCCCTTCCACAGCGGCCAAACCAGGTCTCGCAGCCGAGCAAACTGTCACAGGGGTGGTGCTTGTCCACGTCATCATCCCCGTAACTGTCCACGTTCTGTTGGAACTCTCGAGCAACCCCCGCCCCCCGCTCCCCACACAGATGAGAATGATGGCGATGATGCTGAGGACAATGACGATGATGTGCTTCGTGCATGCTGGTATTCCGAGTGTGACTGTTGGTAGCAGCACTGCTTTTATGCTGTTCTGCCCTTAGGTAACGCATGTTCTTTGCTTGTTTGTTTGGCTTGATGTTCTTTCGTAGATTTTCGTAGTTTGCACCGACCGTTGTCATTCTATGCCCAGTTTCGGATGGGTGCGGTAAAAGTCAGCCCGAGCATTTGCTTGAATAACTTTCCTTCAGGAGTCTTGAGCAAGGGACCGGAGGAGCTTGCGGACGGGGACCATGATCATCCTCGAGGAGGGACAGGGGGGCAACCCACACCACAGGGAACCACAGGCGGAGGGCGGGGATACCACGGGGTGGGGGGGGAGGGGGGGCCAGCAGCGCTGCACCATACACATACACATGCATGCACATACACATGCACATACACATGCACATATGCATACCAGACCGCATCCGATGAGCATCCACATCTCCATGCACATGCACGCGCACATACACATACGCGCGCTCGCACCCACACCCACGCATGCATGCATGCATGCATGCATGCATGCTTGCTTGCTTGCTTGCTTGTTTGTTTGCTTGCAAAGGGACTTACACATGCACATACGGCAAATGCTTCTATTTAATTTTTTACATACATAGAGGCATACAGACATGCATGCATGCATGCATAGGTACATGTATAGATACAGGCATACATAGAAATATCGTACCTAGATACATTGGTACACGGAAAAGTTAGTTACATAGATGCATAGATACATGGATACGCATATACACAGATAAGTGCATACATGCTTATGCGTACGGACATACATATATACGTACATGCATATGTTACATACATGCGTACATGCATACATACGTATATACATACATAAGTATACATACGTACACACACGCATGCGTGCATACATGCATATATGCATACGTGGGTCTGAGAAGTCGCTGGTCTCAAGTGGCCCGGAAGTGGCGGTGCGGTGATCGCCTATTGGTTTCAGCCTTGACACATCCAAATTCCTGAGACTCTGTCAGCCCACAACCCCGAAAAAGATGTTAAACAAATCAGGCCGCGGATGCCTCGGAGGCGCAGTTGAAAGCGCTGCAGCACTGGAACTGCGAGCGAATCGACCAGGCCCCACGGATCTTAGGCACATGGCAAAGCGTGAGGCGCCATCATCTCGTGCCAGTGTAGATAGCAGTTAGTATGCAATGTCTCGTAACCTGGCCTTCTGTTGACGTGAATTTCTGAAGAAGTGGCCGTCTTGATTGACGACACGTGCAGCTTAAAGTCATGATGCAGCGTGAGCGGGCAGGCAAATGGCGATCTCGGACATTTGGCCCGCTCTTACGGACAGGCAACGGCTGGCATCGAATGCTAAGTGGCAGGTTTAGTTTAGCTTAACGAGGATGTAAAGCTTGGGTTTTTGATGGTCTTCTCGCTCCCCGTTGGCCGGCGTGCATTTTCTGTTGGGCAGCTTCGTAGCTTCACATGCAGGTGTGCAAAGCTTGCAGCAGCGATGCAATCCTGAAGTTTTCCTGGTCCGACAAGCCTAAAAGCAACCTAGAACAAGCTAGAGATGCTATAGGCAATACGACTGCGGTTGCGGTTGACAAAGTGTTCACGTGATGTCAGACGCCCCGCAGCTCTTCTTGCAGTTCTTCCAATGTGGCGGGTCACCCCAGCAACAGCTGGACGTTTGTGGCAGAATCTTTCGCCACGACAGCAAGGGACCTACCTTCCTTTCCCTATCGGTGGATTTGGACGATCCTGAGCAGCCAGACAGAAAACCGTTTGTTTTCGCAACTGGCCCCGATGGCTGTCACAAGCTGCTTGCTCAGTATGGAGCATGTATGGTTCACGAGTTCTTGGTGCATCTGGGCTGTGACGCCTCTTGGATCGACCACGTTCTGGAGAAGGATAAGCGCCGTTTCGCAATCATCCTGTTACCTGGCACGAAGAGTGGGGAACAGAGAGAAGGGCAAGCACAGGGAACTCCCAGTGGCGTCCGTGCCACTTGGGATGGACTGCTTCAGTGTGTTGCAACGGTTCCTCGCCTGGACGAATACGCCGAGAAATATGGAGAAGAGTGCAAGCAAACAGACATGGCTGAATTCGTGAAGTGCAGGGAGTTCCTGCGCAAGTATAGGTCAGTCGAGCATGTTGATGCCAGCGATATTGACCAAGATCCGAGCATCTTCTTGACTCCACGCCGCTTCTTGGACAGGACCGAGCGCACATTCGTTGATTTTCGTATCCTTTTGTGGACATGGTTTGGGGCAAGTCATCTCTTTGCGGGGGATGGCTACACAAGAAACGAAAGTGGTGAAAAGGGTAGCTCCGAATTCCTGATTCCTAACCTGTCTGTGAAAGAACTGCAGGAAAAGGGTGCCGCCCTGCTTCCTCTCAAGGTGCTCTTATCGAATGGACATGATCCTGATTCCTTCTTTCGGCACCTCCACACCCTCGCTGAAAAGTGTTGTGGCGGGTGTCTGCTGGGATGCCTTGGGCTTCTCTGGCCGGAAACACGAGCTGGTAGAACAGATACTGTACAAGCTGGCAATTGGAAAAGGAGCGCAGCAAATGATAGCCAGAAGAAAGGTTTCGACCCAGTCATGAAGCCTCGCAGACAAAGCTCCATGCACCCCCAGGCGGTGGACGGATCCTTCACCGAACGGATGCAGGAGGCCCTCCAGATGTGCTCCAAGGCGAGATTGTTCCACTACCGGTAGTTTGAACTAAGGCTCAGTCAGGCGGCTTGTGTTGCTGAGGCAGCCAACGAGACCAGCTCCGTGAAAGCGGCCAGCATGGCTTGCTGCGCGTGGGGCGATGTGCTCATGAGGCATGGCGCTTTTGATCTTCCCTCCAATGGCTAGAGCTGCTGCAATTGCAGCAAGCCAGGGAAGCAACAGCGTTTGCTAGGAGCCGCGAGTGCTGCAACGTGCCCGGACCGCCATACTGCATCAGCCACGGCAACTCCAAGTTGGCGCGGATGTCGGCACTCAGATTGCACCACAGGAGCCCGCACGACCCTATACTGGCACGATGTAGAATGTCGGCGGAAAGCGCGCATCATGCGTGCAGCTCTCAGAGCTCAGGTGGCCCTTGCTGCAGTGCTAGCTGCCGTGGCTGCAACTGTGTTGCCAAAGCTGCAGATGTGCTGCCGACGGCCCGATTCGCGCAGTGGGTCCTGCTTGGAGCAGCCCGGCAGAGTGTTTCCTTCAGCTTCGGCATCATTTTGCCTATAATCTTAAAACCTCGTGATGAATCATCAGTGCCAGTTGATCTTCCTTCAACCCTTCGCTCGGCCATCTTGGCCTTGCAAAGAACTTACAGCCAAGAGAGTCTTGTGTTAACTCCCAAAACTTCGCAAATCCCATGAGAATCCGAAACCCTAAACCCAAAGCCCTAGGCTCAAACCCTAAACCCTAAACCCTAAGCCCTTAACCCTAAATCCTGAGGTCCTTCTTTGCTCCCAGCCTCTTCCGCACCCCGCGGACCCGGGCCTCGATGATGGTCGCCAACATCGAGTCCTTGGAGCGAGGCCTGAGCATCGAAGGGCTACGATTTCATATTAGAGCTCTTCTGCAATTACTTTATGTCAGTTCATAAGAGCTACTAGTGTATATATAACATAGTATATATATATATATGTGTTTTCTTTCACATTACTAGTATAAGAACTTGATGATGATGACAGACTCAATCCCTGATCCACCTGATTCCCGAAGACCTTGTCAGCGGAGCTGCTTCGGTCTGTATGATGTGATGACATGATGTCCCGATATTCCTCCTTCCTTTCTCCTTCCTAAACCCTAAACCCCAAAACCGTCCTGATTGACTGTGGTTACTTTGGGGCCGAGCTGGCTCCCCCGAAGATGTCCGATGCTCTGGGATCTCGAACATGGATTTTTCGAAGGCACAGCGTGGAAAATCTCTGGGGATCGGATTGATAGATCAAGAACACATGTCTGTATGAGTGGGTGGATGGATGGACGATCGTATGAAATACCCAATAGACGAGTCGACTGGATAGTTTTAGAATGTGTCCTTTGCTGGCCATACTGTGCAGCATAAAAATATGCCAGATGGGAGTGACATGTTCAGGTGGCATCGAGGCCGACAGAGCTCTCATGGAGGATCTAAAGCAGTGCTGGAGCGGTGACGGACGTGCCTTGGCCGTGCATCTGAGGTCTTAGAGATCTCAACGAGATCTGATGGGAATGTTGCATCTGTACAACTCCGCTCATGGCCTCTCGTGAACTCTGAGACATCAAAAGCCAAGGGAGTGACGGGAGACGACGAGGCCAGGACGGAATGTCAGAGTTGCCAACGGATTGCGATTTCTTTTTTCGCCAGGAGGCCTTGATGGCATTCAAGAGAGCAGCCCTCGAGTCCAAATCCCCTGCAGAGGCTCATCGCTTCGCACACTGCCCGGGGGCGACTTCTGGCGGGATCAGGCTCTACTTCATTGTCCATCTTGGCCCGTGCTTAGTGCCATTGAATAGCACAGGCCGCCACAGCCTTCGCAAAACTCCAGTCGGCCTTCGGATTCCAGGAGGCTAGGGGCTGATGGGAGGAGAGCACCAAATGTCCCTGTGTTTCAGAGCCCAGAGTGCAGAGGACTCGGTGAAATGTCAGTTCGAGCACTTTCTTTCTCTGTGGCGCTCGCACTGTGCTGTGGTGGCCGACCGCCTGAAGCTGCCTCCGCGCCCTGACTTCTCAGAAGGCATCTTAAAAATAGATGGTATAATAGAATAATGGAATAGAATATGGTATAATGGACTTAAATGTAGTATGATATGATGTAGGGAGACTGTAGCCTCAGCCTTACGAGGAGACTCCACCAGTCCATTGTTGCTAAGTAGCAAGAGAGCCGCAGCGCGATGTGTTCACTTACATCGTCCGTGTCGTGGGTCTTTCCAGAGTCTTTTTGCGCACTCTCGATTGTCTGCATAAGATATCATTTTCGTTGCTATTTGATCGCGCACCTTCGTTGGCTAATGTTTGTGCTGTCGTTGAGAGTCGACAAGGAACGACGGGGTGGGTTGCAGAAGCCTCGAGGAGGAGCCTCGGCGTGGGCGCATGTGCATGTTGCATTCGGCCCGATTTTTCTTCCTCGAACCTCTGCCTCCTCCCGCAGGATCTTCTCAAAAGGGGGATGGATGAGCTCCACGAGGCCTTGCTTGCAGCATGTCGGGTAGCCAAAGCACGCGTTTCTGTGACTCACCTGGAACGCAACATCCAAGCCACCCGAAAAGAACACGACCCTAACAGCATCCGATGGACCATCAGTTTAGTTAGCCTTGAGTCCCGCGTCGATTCGAGGGCCGTTGGGCCCCTCATGCGGGGTGACTGCGTTGAGCAAACTGAAGCAGTTCAGGGGAAAATTGTATTCGCGCACGCTGTGGAAACGAGCAAGTTCTGCTGCCCAGCTCTTCAAGCCAGTGAGAAGGATTTGCCTTAGAAGGTCCGATCCATGGAGACAAGGGCAGATGTCAGTTTGAATAAAGCAAAAACAGAGGTACATAACAGGTACAGTAAAATAAAGGACAAATTGGAAGATGAAAGATGAAGAAAAGGTACCGAAAAGGCAAATAACAAGCGGAATTAAGCTGGAACCAGGTGAAACAAAAAGGTAAGGGACAGGTCAAAGAAAAACAGGTGAAGACCAGGCACAGGCCACGAGACTCGGATTTTCCTGCACTCCCACGGCCGGCGGGCTGCCGAGCGCGCGGTCCTACCAGGTTCCTTTACAGGCAAAAAAGTGTCCAAAATCTAACACAAAGGTACATGCCACAGGCAGGCCGGTGTGATCCGGGATTTCCCACACACCTGTCCTTCGCGTGGCCTGGCCTTTTCTTTTTTTCTCTCAACAGTTTTTTTTACAACTTTTTTAAATCTGTTCCAACATTTTTTTATTTGTTACATGTTCTGAACCTTTTTTACACTTTTTTCTTCGCCTTTTTTAGAAGGCAAATGATAGGGACGCTCGCCCTCCAGCCTGCCCCCGCCCCGGCTGGTCAGCGAGCGTCCTAGTCTTGACCTTGTCTCCTTTTAAAAGCCTTTTCGTTACCTTTTTGTTTCACCTGGTCTTAGCTTCATCGCACCTTTATTTACACTTATTTACCTGTATTTTGCATTTTTTTCAACAGGGCTCTTTGGGCCGCCTCCATCGGAAGGGTCTTTCTTATACGTGACTCATACGGGCAAAGGACCTACTCCGTGGCCTGCGATGGTGGCGAGCGACGTTCCAGGATCAAGGCTCGTCCGAACTTCTTGGGGAACGCTTTCTCACTGGCATCGTGTCCTCTGTTCGAACGTCAGCATGGGACTGACGAGGAATGTAAGGTAGGAGACTTGGCAACTTGGCGGCAACCTGTCGCCATGTGTTTGCCATGTGTTGAGGTGTCAAGCTGGGGGTCACCCCAGAAGCACCCGATGAGTCTCCACGATACCAGGCACGCTGAGCTCGCACCGAAGCTTCAAGTTCCGGCTGCCTGCACCACAGCTGCCACAATCTGGACCCTCAGCCTGACCAACCGCGAAAATTAGTCATGCTTCGCCGGCTTTTTGATGCGGCCAGGGCTCCATGAGCATCTCGACTTCCGTCCAGGCAGCGGTAGCCAAAAAGTAAGTAAGGAGCTGCCCACGTTCGCTGTGTTATGGCAGTGCCGGCAGGTGGAGGTGAAGTGGTGTGTCCCCGAGTCCGCGGAGCGTGCGCAATTCAGTCAGTACCAAGCAGCGAAGCCAACTCTCGCGAAGCTCGAGGACTTCGGGGTGCAGTGCGGGCTTTAAAGGCTTCATGTGGCCTCGCTTTTGTGCCGACTGTTGGGTAGTGCTAAAGCTAAGTTTTTCATGTCTTCATATCTCCGAGTCGCGCCAGGAAGTGGCAACGTTCCTTCTTGTCTGGGGCGAAGCAGGCTGCTTGCCCCCAGGTCTCATTGCAAAGCTCTCCAGCACACGAAGCCCTGGCCGTGAGGCAACCTGCGATTCATGCCTGAGATGCTGTGCTTCATCACACAACTGGCGCTAGATGCCGAGCCAGTGCACTGTGAGGACATGGGTTTTGGTGAATGAAAATTGCTTGTTTGGCGGGAGAGGGGAAAAGTCAAGTAGGGAATGCAACTCGCGGAGCAAGGGGCTCAACTTGAGGCAGAGGGAGGTCTCCCTCGCTCCCTCCCTCCCTCTCTCTCTCTCTCCCTGTCTGTCT